GTAATGTGCCTCTACATAGAATTGTATCCTTGTTGGACTGTTTATAGGAAAATAAAAATCTGTTATTTTTGTTAATGAGCCAGAATAATAACTAAACAATGGCTCTGTGAGCATGGTCATGAAATCAAAGTGGGTAGTGGTAAATACAGTTAAGTTGTTTTGCCTCCGTTAATAATTATATTATGTAAAAAAAAAAAAAGTTTAAATGGTGTGGGGATATTTGTTTACTGATTTCAGGAGTTTGGTGGGCTTCAAGTTGTTGGTCCATCTATGGGGGATACAAAAGTGGAAAACGTATTCATGTGCAGCAAACTGGAATGAAGGGCGGAGTTTCCTTACACGAGAAAAAATATGTTTGCACAATCATCAGTCAACACTCACTTTGCTGTAATGTGTGCAGCACAATAGTTTTTGTGTTAAATATCAGTAGAGTTAAAGAGAAAAGGATTTTAAATGTGTCTGCAAGTGCATAATCCTCAGGTAAAACCAAAACGTTCCTACTAATACTTATCACTCTAGTTTTCTGTAGTAACTATTGGCACATACTCAGTTAAAAGGCACTTCAGTGCAGTAACAACACTAAATTGGTTCAACAACCACCCTGAGACAACCTAAACATTAGACCAAAGGATTAAAAATACACTGATTCGGGTACCACTTCCTGCTACAGTTTAAGGTTGCAGTGAAAAGGTGTTTGTTTGATTGTGGCTTTCACTGAATTTGTGTTTTAGATGGTGAAACTAAGTGTGAGAATAGGATTACAAAACCTGCCTCTGCTAGTCATGCAGAACAGGTATGAAGTGACTCGTATTCACGGAATTGCTATTCTCTCAATTCCAGTAAAAGGTTAGAAATTAGGTTGAAATCAATAGCAAGAGCAGACTCGCTTTAAAGTATGAAGTATAAAGTCATTTCATGACCTGCATGATTCAACGGTCTTAGAGATTTCTGATGTGTAGAACTGGTTAGAGTGTTACGTCTCTGACATTAAATCCACAAATCTAAACAGCTCATTTTAAAATCTCCTAATTAAAAATTTTCATTGATTTTGTCTCATGTTTAATTGCCAGCAAACTTATATGATAACAATAAAAAAAATTATTACGTTTTAATATTTGCCTTAAGATTAAAGCACACAATGATTATAATGCAAAGCACGAGAGTCACGAAGCCACCATTTTTTTTCGAACTATAACAATGTGGTGATTATGTTGACCATTAAAAGGTTTAATGTATATTTATATAGATACACTACACTCTGAATCCTTCCAACATCATAACAGAATTCTGATGCTCCCTTTAAAACAAAGAAGAAAAAAAGGCAGGATTTTCTCCTTAGTTAACAAGAAATATTATATTTCACTTTCCAACATTTGGAAGGGGGGCATCTTTTCTAATTTGGGATTTTGCCTGAAGTGCTATCCCTGCTGAGTTTATAAATGCCAGTTTGGCTAATTTATTCCAAGAGGAGCACAGAAAAGAGTTTATAATGATCAGTGTAGTTCTCTGTTGTGCTTTGCTGAAGTGAGCAAAGTTACTTTTGTACACTAAAATATCAGATGGTTATTTATATAAAATATAATCTTCTAATATTCTAAATGTGCCAATGAAGTGTTTATTACACTGTACAACAGAATAACAACTTGTCAAAATAGCTTCCATTAGTTGCAGAAAAAAAACTAAACTAGTTTACCTAAACTTTAGTTTACCTAAAATAAAGTTTCCCTAAACTTTAGGTAAACTAAACTATGGATCAGAACGTCAGGAATGTAGTAGGTTAACTGTAGCTCAGGAGCCAGAGCAGCCAGTATTCTTGCGTAAGATACTGAACAATAAGTTGCTTTTTAATGCATTCATCAGAGTGTGAAGGTGTGTGAATGCTAGCTAGAAACCACTTATGGTGGCGGTAGCTCAGGAGGTAGAGCAGGCTCCCCCAGTCTGCATGTTGGGCAAGATACTAACCCTAAGTTGCTCTCTGATGCATCCAGGAGTATGAATGAGTAGTAGTTAGTTAGTTAGTGAGAACTTAAAAGCACAGAAGAAAGTGTTTGTGTGATTGGGTGAATGCTGTGTAAAGCGCTTTGAGTGCTTTGAGTAGAAAAGCGCTATATAAGAATCAATCCATTTACCACTTACCATTTACTTAGGCAAAGAAAGAAAGTGCTTGTATGAATCTGAGTGACTAGATGAATGAGGTATGCTCTAAAGTGCTATGAGTGCTCAAATTGAGTAACAAAGTGCCATGTAAGAAACAGTCCATTAGTCATTTACCAATGTGTGAAGGGCAGAAAGTAACAAGTTTTGTCACTCCTTAGCTGGATTGCAAAAACAAATGAGAATTAAAATCCACTTAGAAGTTGAGGAGGCCTGCAAGCAGGCAAGGACAAATTAAGTTCATTCAGCACTAAATGTGTGATTAGGTGAGTTCAGGAGTATTATGACTACATGGTCAGCAGCAACCTCGAAAACCAATAAAATTGGTATCATAAAAATATCTCTCTTTTTTGCAAGAGCAACACCACTACCGGGCTGTGCCCAACATAGACAGCAAAATCTATAAAAGTGACAGCCATTGAAATGTTATGCTTCTGAGTTATTCAGATTCTAAATACTGCGCATACTGAGGTGCTGAACAAACAGTACAATACACGATAATAGTCACGTTCAAGTACACAAACCCGCTGTCCAGTTTGGAATCTGAACAAGTTTATCACTGTGCGACATGGGGAAGTTCCAGATGTCTCCTTGCAGGAACCGCAAATTTCAGGGAAATTTCTGCTTTCCAGAAGAGATATGGCAGCGTAAAATGTTGCATCCTACAAACAGACAGAGGAAGTGAGAGTCTCCACAGACTGTTGAAACTCCAGCACAGTTACAAATTGCAAATACTCTTCTGTTAGAATGAAGACAATTTCCTTCCCCCCAAAGTGGTGCTTCAGGTTTAGATTTTGCTGCACGTATCACAGACCACAGGTGAACAGAGCAATTTTAGTCTCTTATTTAGCAAAACAGATCTTGCATATATTACACAGAACTCAGAGGGCATCTATTCATTTATGCATTGATTAATGAATACCTTTATTCATTATTAAATGAATAAAGGTATTAATTTAATAATAAATATCATTCAAAAACCTTATTCTGAGAAAAGATATGACAGATTTTTAAGAACAAAACAAGAAATTAAGAATTTAGTCCCAAGATTCTTATTTTTTTTTAAAACATTTTATTTTTATAACTGCTTCTCGTAGGTAAACTACTGTATACACTGACCAGCCACTTTGTTGTGTGCAACTGTTCAGCTTCTCTTTAACATAAATTAAAAAAAAAAAAAAAAACAACATTTGGCAACAACTCAAAAACAACCTGCAGCCTGAAGTTCAAACCAAGCATCAGAAAGGGGAAGAAAGCTGATTTAGGCTACGTCCACACGTACCCGGGTATTTTTGAAAACGCAGATTTTTCTATGCGTTTGCACTTTTCGTCCACACGTAAACGGCGTTTTTGGTCACTGAAAACTGAGATTTTTAAAAACTCCGGCCAGGGTGGAGATTTTTGAAAACTTTTTGCGTTGACGTGTGGACGAGAAAAACGGAGAAAACGCAGCGTCAAAGGTGTGCGCCTTTTTTGACGTCACACTGTGCGCCACGTTATTGTTTCGGTGAAATGAATTTCTACAATACTGTTACTGTTAATTGTACTCTCTGCAGTGTTTAAATGCTTACATATACACACACAGTTACTGTCCCTCCACACATACGACTTGGTTCTGCTTCTATGCCCCATCTTTGTTTACTATTTCCCACCGAGGCTTCTAGACTTCTGATTGGCCAACATTTCTACATGGTTAGGAATATATCGCCACCTGTTGCTTTGGCATGTTCATAGCAGCGTTTTCCTTCATTTCTGCATTTACGTGTGGACGGGATTATTTTTTAAAACGAAAACGGAAAATCTCAGTTTTCAAAAATACCCGTGTACGTGTGGACGTAGCCTTAAACTTTAGACTTGGCATGGTTGTTGGTGCCAGGCAGAGTATTAGAAATCAGAGGGAAAATGCCAGACTACTACAAATAATTCGAGTTAGGACTCATTACAAGCAACACTTGTAATGAGTCATGTCTAATCTTGAAACAGATAGGCCACACCAGGTGCCATTCCTGTCAAGACAGGAAAATGGGGCCATATTTGACATGAGCTCACTCAACTGGACAATAGGAGTTTGGAAAAACACTGCCTGGTTTTGGTTTCTCTGCTCCAGTATTTAGATGGTGCAAACAACATAAAAGCATAGATCCATACAGCTTTGTATCAGTGACTATAATGGTATGGGAGGATATTTTCTTGTCAGACGTTGGTCTGCTTCTTGGTACCAATTGAGCCTTGTTTAAACACAGCGACCTACCTGAGTATTGTTGCAGACCATGTCAGTCCCTTAATTATCACAGTGTACCCATCTTCTGATGGCTGCTTCCATCAGAAGTCAGCCAGCAGTGCTGGTTTGACACCAGATCCCGGCCAGACCTGTCTGCTATGTGGGCAGTAGGATAATGTTTCATATCACAAAACTCACTTCATCTCAAACAGGTTTCTTGAGATGACAATGAGCTGTACTTAAATGGTCAAAGTCATAAGATCTCAACCCAGTAGATAAGTTTTGATTCACATCATGGATGTGTAGCTGACAAATCTGCAGCAACTGAAGAATATTTCCAACACTTTGTTCTAGCTTTGTGCTAGCAAGGTGTACCTAATAATGTGCCCAGTGAGTGTAAAGGAAATTGATATTATCACATTCTGAATTGAGATGACTGTTGTTGAGATTTGGTGCTATATAAATTGAACTGAATTGAATATAATCACATTTTTGCCACTGAGATGGTATCTACACAAAATACAGTGGCCTATGTAAACATCACTCTATTTTGCAGTGTTAAATAAATATGCTACACATGTCAACAGTATAAGCAGGCTAATGTGGATAATGCAGACCCATCTTGTTAATATCTGTGAGCCATGTGTGTTTAATCTGTGCCATGCATTAAATGAGGCTTTAGAGAACTGATAATTTAGAATATGATGCTAAAATACAATCAGGTTTCAGCAAAGAAACAAAGAAACCAAGTGCACATTGGTGGCCGAGATGAAGTAGCAGTCTCAGGCGAAGTTTAGGGTGTTCATGTTGTCTAACTCATCAAAAAGCTGTTTGGGTTTAGCTCAAGAAAATTGAAACATTAAAATAATGAAAATATAAACAATGAAATGCAGTAAATGTTTTCTAAGAAGAAAATACATCATGATCAGGAGATCAACTGTCTCAAAACAGACACCCCCAAAAATCAAACAGTTTTGCATTTCAAATCAGATGATTCAAGATTGTAATGCAAAAAAAGAATCACATTTTAACACAGATGAAAAAAATTACAGTTTAGTATATAGTGATTATAAGTAGTAAGTTCTTTGTTCTATTTCATCAGTAAAAGTCAGAACTTAGAGGTCTTTCCCTGCTGTTGTTTGAAGAGGGAACTGAATTTTATTTCACAGCTGAGTCTTCTAATATTTAAATGGCCACACTGTTTTCTAACTCTGCCGGATCCATGTAGGTGTATGGCACTTCTAAACGCTTGTTTCTGGCTTTAATAACTAAACTTAAATCTTCAAGCTCCATCTGAAAATCCTTTAGTATTTTGCAAGGAATTTCCTCAATGAAATGCTCCTCCGGGTACTGGCCAAGAGGGACCTGATGAGAACAATGATACATTTAAGTTTTCTTCAACAAAATTCAATTAAAACAATTATTTGTTCTTAATCAAAATAGGCTCTTGGAATGATTGTATACAGTTGTAATGTGTTTACAAAAATTAAATTCAGACATAATTCCTGTCATTCTTAATGAAATCTTTGCTGCTTACAAAGTCACTGGACTGCTTGCTGAGTAACCACATGGTGGCCATGCCCTGAACTGTTACATTGACGTCAGGGAAGGTCGCCAACATTGTGGCCTCGCTTGTCGTCCCTTTTGTGGTCGGTGGCGGGAGTTGCAGGGAGATGGGAGTGTTGGGCATCCAGCCACCATAGTCATACTGCATTTGATCAAGAAGTAAAAGATAACTGATTAAAAAGTAAAATGATGGTGTAATAATGGCGTTTAATGTATAATTCCTTCTTTGTTTGTTTTTTTTATATTGGTGATGCCTCCCTGTAGTTGTATGGTACTATTTATATAATTATTCACATTTTCTCTTTGCATGACCAGTTTAGTTCAACTTCACTGATTTTGGAAGAAATGCCTCAACAACTGCAGCTTGTCAGTACCATGACTGGGTATAAACAGAGTATGTTAGAGAGCCAGAGTTTCTCAGATGTAAATATACATAAATACAGTTTGGTTTTAGAGCAACACATGCTCTCATCCAGATGATATCTTTTTCAGAGAAGGACTTACATATTTCAGCAAGACAGTGCTGAACCCCATATTGCATCTATCACATCACAGCTTCATTATGGAAGAGTCTGGATGCTGAACTTGCCTTGCTGCAGACTAGACCATTCACCAGTTGAAAACATTTGATACATCATGAAATGAAGACCCCTCCTTGAATCGCTACCTTATCGTGGTGGAGGGGTTTGT